CTGCAACTTTAAGCAGAGGTGTTTGTGACTGAGCACGCGGGAGCTTGTTTATTTTAGTTCATTGTGGCATTCAGCCCTCGGGAAAAAGGACAGTAAACAGTTTATGAGTTTTGTCATTAAGAAGGTATTTCGGACCCAGTATCGAAAGGGACATGTTTAGTGACGTCCCTGTAGACATAGGCCGTTGACTGCCGCGCCCTTCATTCCGAACGACCCGGAGCCCTGGTCCTCTGTCGCTGCCCCTGAAGGGCAGACCCGGACGCGCGCACACTGGGCTGGCCAACGCCTCGCCTGCGTGAGGCAACAGTGGCTTCTCTGTTCCAGCGACCTGCTGCTTCAGGATTCCACCTTCCCCATCTCCACTGAGCCGGGCTGACACGTGACACTGCACCTCCAAGGCGTGCCGGGGTGGCGTGGAGCACGTGCGTGTTGTGAAACGATCACGGCCAGTTAACAGACCCATCATCTCTGTAGCTGCGATGAGAACTTCTAGAGGCCTGCTCTCAGCAGCTCCCGCGGCACAGAGACTCGCTGGCGTGGCCGCCGCGCCGAGTGCTAACCCGCGCCGACTCCACTGGGAACAGGGCTTGTGCCTGCGAGCTCCGGCACCCACATCTCCACCCACCCCGCACCCCCCGGCTCCGGCACCCACTCCTCCACCCACCCCGCACCCCCAGGCGCCGTCACCCGCGCCTCCACCCACCCCGCACCCCCAGGCTCTGGCACCCACGCCTCCACCCACCCCGCGCCCCCAGACTGCTCTGTCTCTCGGGTCTGGTCTCCGTCAGGCTCCGTGGTGTAACTGGGTCAGACAGCGTGTGCATTCCATGGGCGTCACTCCAGCTGCACAGGCCTGCGGGGTCAGCAGCGGTCACCAGTTGGCGGGTTTCCTTCGTTTTTATAGCTGGAGCTCTTCGCTGTGTCTGCTGCCATTGTGTGTGTGGGTGTGTGTCTGTGTGCAAGTGTGTATATGAGTGTGTGAGTGTGTGCAAGTGTATATTTGAGCGTTGTGTGTGCGAGTGCTGTGAGTGGGTGTGTACACATACAGCTCACAACTTCCGTACTCATGCGTCTGTCGATGGCACTCGCTGGCTCCCACGCTGTTTAGCCCGCCAGAGCTGCAGTGCACGAGGGGCGCTGTCTGTGATCGAGGGGGGTTTCGTGCTGCCCCTCTGGGTTTCTGAGAAAGGACACTTGGTTCGTGGAATCCAGCCTTCTTCATCTTTCATAAATTCCCCAGCGCAAGGTGATGAAAATTCTTGACTATTTTTTCTATTTCAAAGCTCAAATTTCAAAGGGAGAAATTATGATTCTGAGGCGCCGGGAGGCCCCCCCCCCACCTGGCAAGAGAAATTGGGTCAGAGTTTCGCTCTTTGCTCCCAGTGCGATTTCTAGAGACTGTGAACTCGATGCCTGTCCTTTGTTCTACATAATTGATGAAAAATGAATGTCATAATGAAAGACTCTTGTACATAGTAAGAAAAATGTATTTCCGCAGCGTTTCACACCCTCAGGTCGGTGTCTCTGGACAATTCTCCGCGTCCGTGGGGGAGCCGAGCGTCTGCCTCCTGACGCTGAGGGCTGCCGGGTCCGGCCTGCGGGTCTTGCTCCTGCTGGTCTTCCCGCCTGTACCGCTCACGCGGTGGTGACCGGGAGCGTCCCTGGGCCACAGGCACCGCTGGACCAGCGCTCCTCACAGGCCGCCTGCCCGGGTCAGCGGGGACTCGGCCCTTACCTCTCCGTGCCAGGGGTGCCCAGGCCTGCCGTGGGCGCCTGCGAGCCCACCGGGCAGGCGGGGGCAGCCGTGGGGCGAGGTGCCGAGGCGAGCGGTGGCTGGACAGGCCTTTTGTTCTCAGCCGGGAGGGGCCCCTGAGGCGGGGGCGGCAGAGCCTCCCGCAGGCCCAGAAGCGCCAGCTGCCATCGGTGTCTCGAGGCCCCGGATTGGCTCGGGCCGTGGGGGTGGCCGTGGGGGGGCCGGCAGGAGGCGACTTCTGGTCACGCGCGTCTCCGCCAGGTGGCCTTCAGCGCCCGGGCTGCGTCTGTCCCCGGCCGCCGGCCCCGGCAGAGCCAGGCGAAGGGGGAGGCGGCATCTGGCTGCGGGCGGGACAGGAGCTGATGGGGACAGTGCGGGCCGGTGCCCTCGCCGCGCAGACCCGCGTGCGTGCAGCCGCGCATGTTCCGGGGCACGCGGCGCAGGTGCGAGGACGCCTCTCCACAGCCGACCAAATCCGGGCCACACCGGGTGCTTCGCCGGCCTCTCGCCCTTCGGAGGCCTCCGGTCCCCCCACTCGGGAAGCCGCCCGCCCTGCGTTTCTTCCCGTCCCTGGGTCCTTGGAGGCGTGAGCATGAGTGGGGTGAGGCCCCCGTGTGCTCCCCGTGCGGCCCCTGGGGCGGCGCCCGGCCCTGCAGCGCCCCCGGCAGAGACCGGCCATGGGCCACGCCACCTGCCAGGGCACACCCGGGCGGACCGTGTCGGTGGGGGTCGGGGAGACGCGTGCTGGGCGCGGGGTCTTCGCGGGGGTGGGGAGGGCAGGCGCTGACCTCAGAGAGGTTGCGGGGTCCCCGTGAGGCAGGGAGCGCTGGGGGTGAGGGATGTCTCGGCGGAACGTAGCTGGCGGCCGAGGGCCTGCCCTGCTTCCCTGCCCGTTGCTGCACGGCCCGCTCGGAGGGGCGCTGCAGGCACTGGAGCTGCTCCCGCCTCTGAGGCCGGGGCTGTCATGCAGGCTGGTGCGACACTGCACCCTCGGCGCTTCCCGGGCGCGGGCGGAGGGGGAGCTCGGCTTTTAAAAATTCTTTAACTCTGTCGGAGTCCCTGTTTTCTGAAAACTAATTGCCATTTCTGGGCGAGTTTAAATGCAGGCAGAACACTTAGCGTGCCAGGAAGTCTCCCGTCCAGGCAGGACACGGGGCTCCAGCCACTGGTGCCCACACCCAGGGGTCTGCCCGGAGGACGTCTCCACCCGGGAGGGGGGCTCGAGCGGGGAACAGGGGTTCCCCGATGTTTTCTTTCTCTTTTTTAATAGTTACCGTGCATCTTGTTTATTTGGGGACAATATTCTGATAAGGAAGTAAGATCACATTTCATTGATTTGCCTTTCATGCACGTGACACCGTGATTAGGGGAGTCCTTCACACCCACATAAGCACGTGCTCGGTCTCCTCCCCAGAGCGCTGGGGTCCACCCTCCGCTGTCCCCCATCTCCCCCTCAACAACCACCTCGGTTTTTACAGCATCTGAGCATTACTCCTGTGGTGTTTTCCCCATTTCTGTGCCACTGTCTCTGCTGTGTCTGCTCGCTGGGGTGTCCACTGATGCGCGCCGTGTCTTGTGAGTCACCTGCCGATGGGCCTCAGGCCGGCCCGTGACGTGGCTGCTGTGGACACGGGGCGCCTGTGTCTTCTCAGACTCTTTGGGGGAATCCCAGGAGTGGTGCTGCTGTCACGTGGCACCTCCACATGCAACCCTACCTCCGCCCTTGCAGAGGGAAAACACTGCAGGGCCGAGCAGATGAGTGGGGGTGGCTGCCTGTGCACAAGCCACCGCTCAATGGCCTGTTCTAGAAGGTTCCTAGGCATTGGTGTGCAGGTGTTGAAGACAAGGCCTGCATGCTGACCCCCGTCCAGTAAGACGAGCGTGGCGAGTGCTTGCTCTGAAGGGTGCTCTGACACTTCAGCACTAGTCAGCAAGAACCCTGCTTGTTCATGTCTCTCACCCTGAGGGGCAAAGAGAAAAATCAATCCACTTAAATATAAAGTAGATGGTGTCTGATGGGAAGTGCATCACGCAGAAACATAAGCCTGGCAACCCCCGTGGAACTGAGTCTCGTGAGAAACAGAGCAGGGAGTAAGCAGTGAGGACGCGCTGCAGTCTTCTCAGCTTCTCCAGGGATGCTCTTACTCTGCCTGCAGAAAACCCCGTGAGAACAACCCTCCTAGGAATGAGCTCAACCCAGGAGGCGGAAGTCCTCTATGCTGAGAACTAAGACGCTCATGAGAGAAACTGAAGAAGACACAAGGAAATGGGAAGAAATTCTGTGCTTGTGGATTGGAAGAATATGAGACTATCCAGACCACCCAAAGGAATCCACAGAGTCAGTGCATCCCTATCAAAATCCCAAAGGTAGTTTTCATAGTAATGTGACACATTCTAACATGCATGTGGAGCCAAATAACCAAAGCAATCTTGGACAAAGCTGGAAGCACCTTGCTCTTGATTTCAATCTTTACAACATGCATTGCTTAACGTTTGGTCAGTAATGCATATGCGATGCTGACCCCACAGGCTGCACCCAAGCCTAGGCACGCAGTGTAGACCTAGGCTCAGGGCGGCTAAAAGCATCAAAATGGGAGAAATGCTGAAGCCACTGGTTTTGTTATCCTGCAAACGAGTGGGAGGTGCCAAAATTGAGAGAAAACGATTAATCTGAGACGTATTTCGAAGGGAAATATTATTTGCGACTTTTAGAAAGCTCAAGTCAAGAGTGATTCAAATGCTGAGCTTGGGGCATGGTCAGAGGCCTCCACCACTGACACACTGGATAACTGGCGTGGCAGAGCCAGTTTGAAACCCAAACTCTAGAGAGGGACACAGTCCACGAGAAAAGCCAGAGCGTGCAGGTGAGAATGCCATCGGTCACCTCTTCAATGCAATTTCCATAGAGAGACAGGAATTTAAAATGTGGTTTCTTAGGGGAAAATAAGATGATGGTTTGAAAACAGCAGAAATGCCTGAATCTGGAAATTCAGATCCAGAAAATCGTTGCTTGCACACTGGGTGAAATTGGAGGGAGTTTGGCTCTGCAGAGGGGAGGTGCAGGTGGGTGTGGATGGCAAGAACTCCTGGGGTGGGCGCGGTGGGGGGACGAGGTGCCAGCAGCCAGGGCTCAGGGGACTTAAGTGACCAGCATCAGTGGAGTGTGGGCCTAGGGCACGGTGCTTGGCTCACGTGCAGACTGGGAGGATGGGCTGGGAAGGGCATTTGGGCTTGAGAAATCACTGACCTCCGTTACATATGAGAAAACAGCTCAGATGTCCACCGAAGGGCGAACGGCAAGGCAGCGTGGCAGCGGCAGACCCTCAGGATCTAAAGCAGAAAGAAGGAACCTCCTGGGGTCCACGTAGCCACGAGAGCTGACTCAAAAGTAGTCATGCCGAAACACGCCAGCGCCAAGAGGCGCCCACTGTGTGACCGGCCTGGAAACCGCCGCTGCCCGGACACAGGCAGAGCGGCCTGGCCAGCGGGTGCTGACAGCAGGGCGCAGAAGGGAAGTGGTGGAGAGGGTCATCGTGACAGTCCTGGAGGTGCCCTGGGCGTTGCCATGCATCAGATTCCCCGGGTTGAACACCTTAAATAGGTTCAGTTTATCGTGTGTCAGTCAAGCCCAATGGGACTGTAAACAGTTGACATAGAATAAGGCATCCACGTTAGACTTTGAGGCGCCAAGTGATTGGCACACGGAAAGGGAGTCGGTGGCCTCTGGACCGCGCCGCACATGGTTTTGAGCTTGTCCGTAAAATAGGAAACATGTTAGATCACTGGGGAGGGCAGCGGCCTAGTTTTTCCTTATTCTCTATTTGCTTTTCCCCTGTAGCTCCAAGGTAAAATATATAAGTGCCATTTGTTTCCTAGTAATATTTTTTCCCCCAGAAGCAGAATGATAAGTTGTGGAAGAGATATGTTTTAATTATTTATTGAAAATGTAAACTGCTTCAAGCAATATAACACTGTAAATAAAAGTGACTAATTTGGAAAGCATCAGCGTGTGCAGCAAGTCTGATCACTTCAATTCTCCGTGAACCCGCGCTGCAGTGTGAGGTTCTGCTGTCCTTCGTCTGCTGTCGCAGACATGCCCCAGAGGGAGGTGTCCTGACAGAGAGTTCTGGCTGCCTCGGGTGGGGACAGTACATGGTGCACAATGGCAAAAAAAGAATTTCACTATGATTTTTGTGGAATGTTTGCAGCTCAACTAATAATACAACTTTCTTCACAGCTCTCCAGCGCCATTTTCACGATGGTGTCCTTTTTCTGTTTGTTTTGATCCATGAAACCATTTCAGACTATCCTAATAGCCGTGGCTTTCATTTTCACCCCACACACAGTGGCGCCTCTGTCTGCTGCTGATCACTTCTCTTGTATGGAGTAAGATTTCATTTTCCTGATCATTGCTTGTAATGTCTGCCTGGCGGCAGAGAGCAGAGTCCCTATCCAATCTCCATTTCCCCTTCAGGTTAATAGGTTTCCTTTTCCCAATCATTGAGTATTGTACATAAGGACAAAGAGATGTATGCTTATTGAGGTGTATTTAGAGGGGAAAAAGAAGGTAGATCCTTATTTGAGATGGTTCTTACTTTCCCAGCTGGTGCATTTTTTATTATCAGCCCGTATGTGGAGACTAAACATTAACTGTCTCATATTAGAAGGAGCCCTCTTATAATCTTGAAAGATGATTCCATGAACAGCACTGCTCTGTGCTAATGGCCCTGTCTGAACACATCGGCCCCTTCTGCGGGGTGTGGGAGTTGACTGTTCGGTGCGTGCTGGATGCCTGGACGTCGGTGCGTGGCGATTCTGGGCAGCTGACCATCTCACGCAGCGTTAGACACGCAGGCTGGGTATTCAGATACGAGCAGACCTCATCTCTAAGATCATGCGGAACTTGACCTGCCTCAGTGGATGACTGCAAAGGTGAACCGAGGTGGTGGATTTGAAACTACTGACAAATTGTATTATTACACGTAGGAACCACTCAAGAGGTGTCCACCTTTTGCACATGGAAGCGAGAAATCAGGACACGTATTTCTAGTTGCGTCTTTTCCTAAAGGAACTTCAGAATTAAGTGCTATTGGATAACAATGACAAATTTTTTTAGGCAGGGTAGGAACTGAGCAGATGGAGGACAAGAAAGGGGCACAGTTGTCTTTTTATCCTTGTTAGCGTTTTTGCTTTTGAGCTGTGAGAGTATATTATTTACTGTAAATTTAATCATAAAAGTCTCATGATCTTTTTTTCCATGTCATGTGTCCTTTCCAACTATTACTGTTTTTAGTCCTCTAGCGGCTCTTGGGTCACCAGCGTCTGTCCTGGTCTCCCTGGAGAGCACATCTGTGTGTAGAGTGGGTGCTTCAGATGGGGGCTCACAGAGACCAGGAAGGACCACCTTGTTGCTACAGTAGCGAGCAGGTGGGCCCAGCGGTACTTTTTCAGTACAGGTTTTATACCTGAGGAGGTGAAATAATGTTCCTCCTGGCCTGGATATGGACACTGCCCACTTTTAACTGACACATCAAAGAGGAATCCGTTTAATTGTTCTTCTATGTGAAAATCTTATTTTATTGACCTTATTCAATTTTTTAGATCTAGACCAAAAGTTGCGACACCAAGTATTTAATGAGGATTTTCTTTTACTTGATGTCTTAAGAGCTTCCTTTCCCAGACACATCTCTGTGTTGACGATCACCAACTGCAGTGATTATTTGGGATTCTGGCTGGCAGTTATTAGAATCTGCCATGGGGAGCACTTTAAATGTCTTGCTGGTTTCCTGTTCCTGGAAACCTTACGTGGTAGATGGTACCAGCCAGGCAGATTGGTAAAATGGCAGCTAAGCATTTAGAAAATTTGCCAGAAATCACATAAAATTCAGAAGTCACATAGCTGCTAAATGGTCTCAGACTCAGTTCTCCTTGACGTCCAAACTCTTGGCTCCACACTGCTGTTTGGAGGCAACTTCCAATTGCATGTCGTCTTAATTTATTTAGGAGATATTTCCGGAGTAATTAGCAATGGTTTCACTTTCAAAGCTGGCAGAAATGTGCTCATGATTTATATCATGTGCAGATAGTGGGAAGCATCTAATTATCCATCATCCAGGCGACAGCCTTGCCCCGAGAAACTGCAGCTTATTCTTTTCTGTGTGCTGCTACCCAGAGGGCATGGAGACTAGGCCAACGCAATCAATTATGTGAGTGGCCATCGGAAGCAATGCTCTGAGGTCCTTGTACTCAACCTCACTCAAGACAGATTTAACTTTCTCATAAGAGGTCAAACTTAAACAGCAAGAGTGACAAAAATAGTTTATTTTTCTGCATTTATCTGTATTCTTCGTCGCTTGCTTTAAAAATATATAACTTTCAACAAAATATATATACATAGTAGAAGGTTGTATTTGCATAGAACCAAAATGAACCACGATTTGATTTTTTTAAAAAAGTAACATTGGGGCTCCCTGGTGGCACAGGGGTTAAGCCTCAACACTATGAAGCTGTCCGCAGCCTCTGCAGCACGAGTTCGATTCTGGCCAGGGAGCTACCCACATGGTGCGGCAGACCTCTCCTGTCTCCCCGCTGCTCCCCTCAGCAGTGTACTTTGGTCAATCTGCCTGTTCTGTTCCCCACTCTGTCTCTGGTGAGTCCTCTCACACCCCTGCACCTCTGGCCTGTACCCCAGTTCTGGTATGCATAAATAAAGAAATCTTAAAAAAAATAAAAAAAAGTAGCATTAGCAAGTCATTTTGTTTCAGAGTACTGCAAAAAGTCCGTGAAGGCTGAATATGTTGATTTTCTGTGACTGTGGAAGATTCTCTCTCTTACCGGGCTAATATTTGGTTATTCAGGAAAATTCTACTAAAAAGACCTTTATGTCCTGCTCAAGGCCATGCAGTGCTGCCCCTGGAGAGACAGTGTGGTTTGGGGCCTTGTGTGGGCCTGACCGCGTTTCCCTGGGTCTCTGGGGTTCTGTGTTCAGTGTGAGTGAAAGGCATTACCACCTTCCTTTAGGATCACTGTCACGTGGATCTCTTTAAATGTGTGTCTGTGAACTGTTTAATTAGATCCGTGAGACTCTCATAAAACTGTCATTGACAGAAATGAAAATGCCAAACTTGTAAATTATTTTTTGTATGTGTTAAAGTCGAGGCTTCGGTGTTGTGCTGAAGGATCGCCCTATTAAAGAGTAACAAGTTGCCTTAAGCAGCGGTTGTGACTCTGGGCATAGCAGGCCGCCGGGGTGGGCTGCCTGTGGAATCTCCACCCCAGGCGCCGGGTGTCACTACCGGGTGTCACACTACACTACCTTCTCAGCCTCCTGCCGGTAACATTAACACGAGCTGGGACTCATAGTTGTGATGATGCCGAACTTGCTCAAATATGTGTTGCTCCAAGTATTTGAAGATGTACTTGAGTAGCTCAGGCTCTCTTCAGCCGTGTTTAAAGCACACAGCCAGCTCTGGAAGCCGCGTGAGCGCCCCTTCTAATAGGACAGAGACGTGGAGGCTGATTTTCCTGTCTCTGACAAGTTGGAGCAGGAAAACGAAGCTCCCGCGCCATGCCCTAAATGGAAAACCTCAGTGTGCTATATGGGCTTTGACAAATAAAAACACAAATCAAAACCTCCTAACAGCACATCTGTTCTTATTTACAGGAATCAGACCATCCCTGCTGCAGCCTGGAATCAGAGGTAAGCAGTGCATTTAATCTGTCATGCCTGCAGGTTTTTATGGAGTTCAAACGTTTTTCAAGGCTTGGCTTGATAAAACCCCCTCATTATGTTTCTCGAGGTAGTGCTGTCATCTGCGTCCAGGACCTCACTAACAACATTTCCAGTTCAGTAGGAGCAGAGATCGTTCGTTGCCTTTTATTTGATCTCAGGCTATTTAATAGTGGAAGCTGTTGTGTGCACACCATTTTGGGGGGATGTCAAACCATTGGGTTAAAGGTGCACCCAATTATGTTATATCTTTAAGCAACTTGAAAGGGCAGTCGCATCTAGAAATTTACCACCAGGCTGTGTTTAAGTGACGCTCAGGCGATGGAGCACGCTGACAAAAGTAGGGGATTCAAAGTTAAAAATGACAGCCTGTCCCTCCCTGGTGCCGCTTTAAAAATGGAGGATGTTGAGGAGATTACATGTCAAGCTCAAGAAAATTGGGGATTTTACTTTATAAGATGTTCCCGTCAGTGTGTTGTGCACACAGTGACAATGGTGCCGCACTGCTCTCATGCGGGAGCACCCCTCGGCTAGATGGCCTCACCTGGGCTTTCAGACAGTCCTGTGGTCCAGTGGGCAGTGGCCTCCGTCCATCTGCCCAGGGGGCATGGGGAACCTGGGAGTGTTTTCTTCCCAAACGTAACAATGGCAGGGAGTGTGGCCGCCCGCTCAGTGTGATTCTCCTGACATGAGACTGGTGCTCATGTGCACACACACACATGCACACACACTCGTGCACACATGCATGCACACGCGCACCCAGGGGGCAACTGGAGGAAGGCCCGTCTGTAGTGTGCATATGCGTGTGTGCACACAGGTGTGTGTGTGTGTGTGTGTGTGTGTGCGTGCACGCGAATGTGTGCCCCCCAGCTTCATCCACTCATCTACCATAAAGAATTAGGTTGTGTCCGCCCTTCACTATTACAAATCGTGCTGCGACGAATACAAAGGTTTACGAGTCTTTTCAGTTTAGTGTTTTCTTTCTCTTCAGATGAGCGTCTAGAAGCAGAATCCCTGGGTCATGTGGTCGTTCTGCTGTGATGTCTCTGAGGAAGTTAACGCCATGGCGCACTCCCCCCCAGAGCGCGAGGCCCCGCCCTCCTGGCCACCGCTGCGCCGTCCTGTCCTTTGTGATGACAGCTGTGCCTGCGAGGTGAGTGGCCACGTGGGCTGGCTTGCGTTCCCTGGTGATCGGTGCGGTGCCCCTCCACTGGCCTGTTGGATCTGTGTCTTCAGAAAAACGCGTATGCGGGTTCTCTGCTTTGTTCCTAGTGGTGGTGTCTGTTTACTGTTACCGAGTTCCCTGAGTTGTCTCTGTGGCTCAGATGCTGAGTTTACGTGAGTCATGGCCGTCTCTTCCTGTCGTTGATGTTTCCCTCACTGGCAGAAGTTTTCAGCTTGACGTGGTCCCATTTGCTTAGTTTTGCTTTTGTTTCCCCTTGCCTTTGGGGTCAGATCCGAAAACCAAAAAGACCCTTGCTGACACAGCGTCCACGTTTCCGTGTCGCACAGCGCGACGTTCCTGCAGCCTGCCCTGCTGGCCAGTGTGTCCCCGTCCGAGCACAGCTTCCTCGCAGGCGGCTGGGCTGTGTGCCTGAAAACGGTCAGTGAAACGATGGCCGAGTGGCTCTAAGTGACTCTCAGGTCGTCTCCACCACGGACGCTCCCTTCCCGGGGCCGGCCGCTGCGCTCATCTCCTGCGTCCTGTGCTGGGCAGCTTGGGTCTCCCCTCTCCTCACAACCCTTGTGATGAGATTATTGGTGTCCACAGCTGACCTGGGGTTTCACTGCGTCCATAGTCACATGTGGAGGAACGGACGTCCATAAGCAAGATTCTCCCTGTTTATCCACTGCTTCTTTGATGTATTTCATCAAAGTTTTGTAGGTCTTCTAGTGTAGCTCTAATACCTGTTTTGCTAAATTTGTACCTCTTTATTTCCTTTTTGTAAGGGAAGGCAATGACTGTTTTGTATTTCAAATTCAACTTGTTTATTACTGATACATAGGAAGGAAAGCAGCTGACTTTGTACGTTAGCCTTGTGTCCTGCAACCTTGCTCTAATCACTTGTGAGTCCCTGAGGTTCTTTTGTATATTCTTTTGAATTTCCTATGGGAGACCTTTTGGCAGTTTCTTACAAAACCAGACATATTCTTACCAGCCGACCTATTAATCACACTCCTCGTTTAGCCAACAGAGTTGAAAAACTATGTTGACAAAAAAACCTGCGCGCAGGTGTTTATCGCAGCTCTATTCATATTTGCCAAGCTTGTGGGGGGACGGGGAAGTAATCTAGGTATAGCTAGACAATACAATATTGTTTAGCACTAAAATAAATGGGTTATAAAGTCATAAAAGAAATGGAACAGACTGGCAGAAATCAATCTGAAAACACTGCATACCGTGTGATTTCAACTCTGTGACATTCTGAGAAAGGCAAAGTTATGGAGACCATAAAATGATCACGGCGCCAGGGCTGGGCGAGGGAGGGATGTGTAGACAGACACGGGTGTGCCTGGCTTAGTGACCTCCTGGTGTGATGTCACAACTGGGGGTGCAAACCTCTGCCTTTGTCTGAACCCCGGAGAGCATCACATGAGAGTGAGCCCTGCTGTAAGTTGGAGACGGGACGACCTGACATGCGGTGCGGGCTTGTCCACTGTGATGGATGCACATTTCTCGAGGCTGTGCGTGCTTGGGCCAGCTCATGTGTGAGGCCTCTCTGTACCTTCTTCTCCATTTTACTATGAACCTAAACCTGCTCTAAAGAATGAAGTCTATTAAAAAAAATGTCTGCCAGAAGCTGGAAGAGCTAGCACAGCTTTGTCAACATCCTCCTTCTGGACTTCGAGCTCTAGAATGTGCTGGAAGTTCTCTGCGAGAACATGTTTCTGTTGCTTGGAACCACTCATTATGTGGCAGTTAATTATGGGCGCCCTGAGGAATTAATAAGCAGAGAATACATTATCCTGGATAGTTTGGTAATCCTTATCTGTAAATCCATCCAGGATTTCTTTTTGTTTTTTAATTTAGGTGGAAATTTAATTTAGAGGAAACGTGCCTTTGACTATCATTTCACTGTAACTCATGTTAACGAGTCTCCTCGAATTTCTTGCATACTTTAATGAATTTGTCCTGTCGACTCTTTTCATTACATATTTATTAATCTAATATTATTAGCACAATAATGACCTATTTTGTTTACAAGCCTTCCTTCACTCTATCTTGATTTTCATATTTTCTTGTAAGCAACAGAGAACCAAGGGACACATTTAACCCTCAGTGGGAAAATCTTCCAACTGTATCATGCAGTTCTTTGCACACATTTTCTGCTCCAGTTTTTTTTTTCCATAACATATTCTTCACTTTAAGTTCTTGTGTTCACAGCACTTTAAGCTCTCACTAGTATCCCCCCAAATTCCTTACAGCTTTTCCACATTCTGCCAACTCCTCAGCTCCAAAGTCACTCTTCTATGTTAGAATTGCTGCTTTTACAGCATCCCACTTCTAAATGGTCAAAGTCTAAACATAGTTAGTTACCTGTCACTGCAGAAAATGTAATCCCAAATGCGGGGCTCATCACAACATGCACTTGTGGTTTTTGCATGGCTGCTGTGCAGACACTTCAGCCACATGCCTGTGGACAGACTGTGTGTCCTCCCCCTGGAGCTGCTGGCTTCCCTGGACAAGGGCTTCCAGAGGGTGGGGCCAACCTGGCCTCGGCAGCAGCCCTCACCCCTGCCGGGCCACGCATCACACCTGCCAGTCCGTGCAAAGCCCTCACGTGGGTCCAGACAGCGGGAGGCACCTCCACCCGACTAAGGCTCCATCCCCCCAAACATGTGGGGGGCTCTCAGGAGGTTCTTGGTCCTCAGCTGACAGTGGCCAGTGGACCTGTTGAGATGGACCTGATAGTGCAGGCCTGCGACTGCCTACCCAGCCTTAACATATGGAGGGCCCAAAACTGACAGATGATTAAAATTTTCCCCTACCCTGTGGTGTTGCTGGGACACACCCACCCAGCCATGAGGACGGTGGTGTGAAGAAGCTCATCTGACATCTTGGCACGTGTGAGGTGTCAGCGGGGTGAGGCTTGCGGGCCGACCCGCAGCCCTCAGTGGAGCAGCCCCTGTAACCCGCTGGCCGGGCCTTGCAGGCGCAGCAGCCACATGTGACTTCACCCCTGGGATGTCACAGAGGTTGGGGGTCATTCTGTTAAGGGGACTCACCCGAGCTGGACGTCAGCAAAACGAGACAGAATGAGGACAGGTACAGACAGAAACCCCATGCCAGGAAACCCCGCTAGGTCTGCTGTGGACTGGGCTTGGATTTAGCCGTCTTGGCAGAAGACTTAGCAAGAAAAGACGCATCCACAGCCATGTAATTAGGGGCGAATCACACCAGTAATTAGTCGGAGAGTAGGTGTTGCTTCTAGTTAGCATCTATTCTCAGTTATTTATGCTTTGGCTTATTTCCTTGGTCTCGTGCTTTCTGTGAGGCTTTCAGGCAGATGCCACAGTCAACTCCTCACATAGAACCCGGGGCCTGGGTGTTTGGCGGATGCCCTCACTCTCACGTAAGGCTGGTTCCCCTTTGACATAACTCGTCCTCATTGTGGCACTGGGTGTCTGGCCTCAACTTAAGGAGCCTTCCTGGTTGAGCTCCTTCCTTCTGTGGAGCCGCTTCTACAAGCCAGCGTGCTCAGTTAGGCTGTTTTGCTCATATTTTGACTCAGTTTACCCCCTTGACGTTGCCATGTGCTGACATGAACCCCTCCCTCGTCCACACTCTATGGGAGTCTGGTTTCTCCTCCCCGAGATCGTCCTGCGAATATCCAGAATGGGCTTGTTGGCACCTTGGCCGGCAATGATGCCACCGTGGAAGCCGGGGAGGGCCCCTGGTATGGCTTGAGGCCACCAGGGTCTCGCCCATTCTCCTGGACAGGCTCGTGTTCAAGTGTGTCAGCCCCTGTGCCCTTGAACTCCACAATGGTGCTTGGTTTCCATGTGTTTCCAGATCGTGGGAGGTTTGCTCTTGCTCCCGCTGCATCCCAGCTGAGGGCTCCAGCCGAGGGGGTAGGGGAGGGGTCACATCTGCGCAGGCTGCACGGTGATGTCAACCCAGGATTTGCAGACTCACACACTTAAAATCAAGAGGAGGGCCTCCCTGGTGGCTCAGGTAGTTGGGTGCAGCGCTGTGAAGCTGTCCACAGCCTTTGCAGCACAGGTTCAATCCCTGGCCAGCCAGGGAGATTCCCACATGGCGCAGCAGACCTCTTTTGTCTTTCCTGCTGCTCCCCTCAGCAATGTGCTTCAATCAGTCTGCCTGTTCTGTTCCCTGCTCTCTCTGGTGAGTCCTCTCACCCTCCTGCACATCTGGCCTGTACCCTGGTTCTTGTATACATGGATAAATAAATCTTAAAAAAAAAAAATAAAGAGGAAAGTCAAGCCCCTGTGAGGAGCACAGCTTCTGAAGTGGGCACCCACGAGTCACATTCAGTTGAGAAAGGAAACCAATGGCATCTTGAAGCACACGCGCGTGCCAGACATCACAGCCTGTGTCTGGGTGTTACTCTGCTGGAAGGTGGGGCAGCTGTCCACATGCAGCTAACGCAGTGTTCAACCCATGTGCATTTGTGGAGGCCCAGTGCTGGGGATGTGTGTGCTGGGGCTTGGGTGCTGGTGCTGGTGCTGGGGCGTGGGTGCCAGTGCCAGGGCGTGGACGCTGGTGCTGGGGACGAGAGTGTTTGAGTGTGGGGTACATAGATTTAGGTCCTGGCACCCTCACATGTTCCCCTGTTAGGAGGTGCTGCTCCTGAAACTCCATACAGGATTTGTCTGTGGACTGTTGATTTCAAACCAGATGCATGATAATGATTTTAAAACTTATAATGTTCTTACTGTGCACAGTTTGGAGCTTTAAAAATACCAACGGAAAGACGTGTTTGCCTTCTAGGGTTGGACCCGATCGGTAGGCCCCAATTCATATTTCACTTGTTCTGGTCAGTCCTTTCCATTTTCTTTGCTTTGTCTGACTTCATGTGTCAGTGGATGGAAAGGGGTGAGAACACTGTGTAATTGTAGAACATTTCACTAACCCACCTCGGGAGAGCGAGGCTAGTGCTGATAGTGGGCTTTGGAAACACACACTTCTGGGCTCCGCTTCTCAGGGGCGACAGCAGTGCGGTGAGGCTCCGGTCAGACTGTAGGACTGAAAGCTTATTACTGACAGGAAATAGCTCTTTTGTGCCCTGAGCGCTGACCATCAGTAAGAGATAATAATATACTTTCAAGAGGAAAAAGCAAAACAACTTATGTATGAAGCAGACCTGTTTATGAACAGGGTTGTAGATATGGGAAGTGAGTGCTGAATGGTATTCTAGAATCCTCCTTTAAAAATCATACTGTAACAGCTTTGCTGCTTCCAGAAGCATGGAGTAGGCATACTCCCCCTTTTTCTGTTGCTAGGTTCAGCTAAAACCCCTGAGCATTTTGCAAGAAGCAAGCACTAGACAACTCTGGGCAGAGACCTGGGGTTCCAGGGAAAACTTTGTGGTGAATTCCTGGAGTTTTCTTTTTGACTCTCATTGCGCAGACTTAGAGGAAAAGAAGGCAGCGGCAGAGGAACATCGGTGGGTGCAGACGAAGCTGGCTCAGGCTCGCTGGCTCTCCAGCGGAAGAGGAGGAAAGGGATGTCCTGGGAAGACACTCTTAGCTGTCACCCCACGGAAGATGGAGGTCTCCCTCCACCAGCACAGCGACGCGGGGAACCTCACCTTCCTCAGCAAGTGCAGGGAGGTGCTCCGGCCCCTTGGGCGGGGACGCAAGGCTGAGTGGAACTGGATCTCTGTTCCCTGTCGGGCAGTAGTGAGCTCCTCCAACCCCTGAAGTGTGAGGTGCCCTTGCCCTCCACAGCAGACAAGGGGGAGTCGGGGTGATGTCAGGCAAGCCTGGACCCCTCCCACTCAGCAGTAGCAATGTCCTCTCCAGGGGGTGAGAGCAGAAGTTGGGGACCAGACCCTCGCCCTCTGGTAGAATGAGGTGTTGCTTCTGGTTCTACTTTGAGTGGAGTCAGAGGAGCCTGGCTGAAACAAGATTTAAAATAAGACCCAGAGCGGGCCTCCCCGGTGGCGCAGCGGTTGAGCGCTGGGTTGCGAAGCTGCCCGCAGCCTCTGCAGTGCCGGCTCGATCCCAGGCTGCTCCCCGGCCACCAGGCGAGGGTCCCACATGGCGCGCAGACCTCTCCTGCCGCCCGCTGCTCCCCTCAGCAGTGTCCTTCGGTCCTTCTGCCTGCTCTGCTCCCTGCTCTGGCTCTGGTGAATTCTCTCACCCTCCCGCGCTTCTGACTGTACCCAGTGCTTGTATAAATAAATAAATAAATCTTAAAAAAAAAAAAAAAAGACCCAGAGCCTCATGATATAATGATGTAAAAACCCCATTTCAGCATGACATCACTGTCATACCAAGGACCAGAGAAACCTCAAACTGAGTAAGAAAAGACAACTGACAGGATGTGACAGAGATGTGGGAAAGTTGTTACAAACTAATGCTACCCATTGTGATCATGCTTGAAATAATGTGTCTCAGCAGTGAAGTAGAAGATAGCAAGAAGAATCAAACATTTTTAGACATGAAAAATACAATAATTCTGGAAAAAATCCTGTGGGAAGGGTCAATAGAAGAATGGAGAAGATAGGAGGGAAGAATCAGAGAATTTGGAGATGGGAGGAATCACCTATCTGAACATCACCGGGAAAATAGACTAAAAACACCTCACCAGCCAGATCCCCAGGGACCTTGGGGAGGATAAGAAAATGTATTTTACTTCTGTCATTAGAGTCCTTGAAAAAGAAGAGAAGTAGGGTGAGGCCTCAAAAGTACTTGAGGAAGTAATGACTGAAAAACTTCCCAAATGTTATGAACGTCTACAGGTATAAGAGATTTAATAAATTCCAAACAGGATAATCCCATAGAAATCCACAAGATTCATCATAGTTAAGCTTCTGAAAACTAAGATGAAGAAAAACGAAGCAGGGAGAGAAGTAACAGTTACTTACACAGGAAATACAGTGGAAGCAAGGATATTAGATTTCTCATTAGAAACTGGAGGTTCAAAGGAAGCGGCATGATATTTTTTCAAGAGCTGAGGAGGCACGGGACTGTCTGCTGTCTCTTCACGTGCTTCCTGTCCAGGGCGGCCCGCGCCCCGCCTGGATCCCTGTCCCGTCTCAGTGTGGAACTTCCGTGCCCACGGCCCAGCCGTCGCCAGAGTGGACGCTGATGAGGAAACTGAGCATGTGAGGCCTGTTGTCCTGCAGGAAGAAGCGGAGCTAAACCGCAAGATGTCCCATAAGGGGTTGCGGCCAGCAGAGGCAGCTTGAGTTTGGGTGCTGCCATCTTACTGCATGCATGAGTGTGTGAGTGTGTGCACACACGTGTGCTTTCCATATGAAAATAGTTATATGCCAGAAGGAGTCTCACTGGAAACACATTTCTTGTGTCCATGGGGCAGGGCTTTGCGTCACAACTCTGTGGTGGGGATGAAGGCTTTGCTGCGCGGCGGCCCTGGTCCTGGGCCAGGCAGGCGCTGGGCTCAGGGCAGCGGCAGTGCAGTCATGTGCGTTTTCTAGCAGATCAATACCTTGGTAATGAGAACTCAGTCCTGAATGAACGTGAATTTCATACGGCAGTGAATATGCTTGAGACACTCCCGCGACCTGATTTTTGCAGAAGTCCCGATGGAATGGCATGTTTATGGGAAGCTTATCTTAAGCACGGAGTGAATCTTCATCTATTTCATTAACAAGGTCCAGGTTGCTGACAGGGAAATCAGGGATTCTGGAAGTTTCCTGTGGAGGGACTGTGTAATGCTGTGTCTCCTCTGGGGGGAGCTGGGAGGGGAGCAGCAGTCATAGAGAATAGTGTGTGTTGGGGACGAGTGCCCTGTGTGAGGGGTGTCCGCACGGACTTGTTTGTGTCCCAGTCGCCTCTCTGAGGTGGCAGGTGCCTCCCGGCTGCGGGACAGCAGGGGACGTCTCTCCACGCCATGCCCATGCAGTCGCTGAACCGCCTTCTCTAGCACATTTGATGAGTGACTGGCTGTAGACACTTGAAGGCTTTAAAAATGATTT